TGAACCCAGTGTCAGGCCTCTGAGCCCAAGCTAAGCCATCATATCCCCTATGACCTGCATGTACACATCCAGATGGCCTGAAGCCACTGAAGATCTATAAACCTTTTCTTGTGTCAGTTTTGATAAATTGTATTTTTCTAGGATATTTATACATTTTATTGGGAGGTAGAGCTTGCAGTGAGCCGAGATCGTGCCACTTCACTCCAGCCTGCACGACACAGCAAGACTCCGTCTCAAAAAAAAAAAAAAAAAAGAATTAAAGCAACAATCATGCCATGTACTGTTGGTGGGACTGTAAATAAATGACTTTTTTTTGAGATAGGCTCTTGCTCTGTTGCCCAGGCTGGAGTGCCATGGTGCAACCACAGTTCACTGCAGCCTTGACCTCCCAGGCTCAAGCAATCTTCCTGCCTCAGCCTCCCAAGTAGCTGGGACTACAGGCACAAGCCACTGTGCCTGGCCAAAATACAACTTTTTTTAAAAGCTGACAATATGTAGCCAAAAAAATTGATATATCACACACCCTTTGTCCCCCAAACTGCTCCCCTAGGATTTATCCTAAGTGGACTGCCGTATGTACATGGAAATGAGTACAATGATGCTCCCTGCATTTTGTAATTGTGGGGAAACAAGGAAGAACCCAAATTTCCAAAAATGGAGTTGTTTAAACCCAGTAAAGACTATTCACGTAATGGAATACCATTCTACCACTATTATAATAGAAAGATATATAATTAAATGAAAAGCTTATATTACAAAGTGAAGAATCAGGTTCTAAAATTATATGCACAGCATAAACCAACTTTTATTGAACATATATATGTAAGATAGTTGCTATTTCTTCCTTAACTGTTTAGTACAAGTTGGTGAAGCCATCTGGGCTTGGCATTTTTTCTGAGGAAGGGTTTTAAATTATGAGTCAATTTATTTAGCACTTAAATAATTATGTATTAACCTTTTCTTGTGTCAGTTTTGATAAATTGTATTTTTCTAGGATATTTATACATTTTATCTATTTGGTATAAATGTGCTCAAAATATCTCCCCCCAACCACCACCACCTTTTTTCTTTTTTTTTCTTTCTTTCTTTTTTTTTTTGAGACAGAGTTTCACTCTTGTTGCCCAGACTGGAGTGCAATGGCACGATCTCAGCTCACTGCAACCTCCGCCTCCTGGGTTCAAGCGATTCTCCTGCCTCAGCCTCCTGAGTAGCTGGGATTACAGATGCTCACCACCACGCTCGGCTAATTTTTTGTAATTTTAGTAGAGACGGGGTTTCACCGTGTTGCCTAGGCTGGTTGCAAACTCCCGAGCTCAGGCAATCCACCTGCCTCGGCCTCCCAAAGTGCTGGGATTACAGGCGTGAGCCACCGTGCTTGCTCGTTTCCAGGGTATAGTGTTGTGACCATAGCTCACTGCAGCCTTGAACTCCTGGGATCAAGTGCTCTTCCCACTTCAGGCTCCCAGGTAGCTGGGACTACAGGTGTGCACCACCTGTAGTCTGGCTAATTCCTTATTTTTTTGTAGAGACAAGGTCTCACTATGTTGCCAGGCTTGTCTCCAACTCCTGACCTCAAGCAATCCTCCTGCTTCAGCCTCCCAAAGTGATGGGATTACAGGTGTAAGCCACTGCACCCGGCCCAAAATATCTTTTTATTATAGTCTGAAATATCTAGGTGGTGGCTCCTTTTTCATTTTGGTTATTTGTTCATTCTGTTTTATTATTTACATTTTATTATTACATTATTAGTTACATCCAGAAGACAGAAAGAGATGCTACATGCTCCAACAATGTATGTGAGGTTAATTCATCTTTGATACCAAAATTTGACAACAGTATGAGAAAACAAAATTGAAGGCCAATCTCATCCACAGTGATGGATGTAAAATCCCTAAACAAAATATTCAGAAGCTAATCCTGTCATATATGTAACAAGGATAACACATCAACAAGTGGGTTTATTTCAAGAATGCAAAGTTAGGCTGGGCGTGGTGGCTCACACCTATAATCCCAGCACTTTGGGAGGCCCAGGAGGGCAGATCACTTGAGGCCAGGAGTTTGAGACCAACCTGGCCAACATGGTGAAACCCCATTTCTACCAAAAATACAAAAATTAGCTGGGCGTGATGATCCTCACCTGTAGTCCCAACTACTTGGGAGTCTGACGCAGGAGAATTGCCTGAACCCAGTGTCAGGCCTCTGAGCCCAAGCTAAGCCATCATATCCCCTATGACCTGCATGTACACATCCAGATGGCCTGAAGCCACTGAAGATCCACAGAAGTGAAAATAGCCTTAACTGATGACATTCCACCATTGTGATTTGTTTCTGCCCCACCCTAACTGATCAATGTACTTTGTAATCTCCCCCACCCTTAAGAAGGTTCTTTATAATTTTCCCCACCCTTGAGAATGTACTTTGTGACATCCACCCCCCTACCCCCAAAACCTTGCTCTTAACTTCACTGCCTATCCCAAAACCTGTAAGAACCAATGGTAATCCCACCACCCTTTGCTGACTCCTTTTTCGGACTCAGCCCGCCTGCACCCAGGTGAAATAAACAGCCATGCTGCTCACACAAAGCCTGTTTGGTGATGTCTTCACACGGACATGTGAACACCCAGGAGGCAGAGGTTGCAGTGAGCTATCATGCCACTGCACACCAGCCTGGGCAACAGCGAGGCTCTGTCTCAAGAAAAAAAAAAAAAAAAAAAGAATGCAAAGTTAGTATAGTATTAGAAAATCAGGCCGGGCACAGTGGCTCACGTCTGTTATCCCAGCACTTTGGGAGGCACAGGTGGGCAGATGACTTGAGGCCAGAAGTTCAAGACCAGCCTGGCCAGCATGGCGAAACCCCTTCTCTACTAAAAAATATGTAAAAATGAGCCAAGTGTGGTGGCGCGCGCCTGTAGTCCCAGCTACTTGGTAGGCTGAGGCAGGAGAATCACTTGAACCAGGAGGCGGAGGTTGCAGTGAGCCAAGATCGTGCCATTGTACTTCAGCCTGGGCGACACAGTGAGACTCTGTCTCAAAATAATAATAATAATAATAATAATAATAATAATAATAATAAAGGCTACTAGAAAACAGCCGGGCATGGGCCGAGCGTGGTGACTCACACCTGTAATCCCAGCACTTTGGGAGGCCACGATGTCTCACCTGTAATCCCAGCACTTTGGGAGGCCACGATGTCAGGAGATCAAGACTATCCTGGCTAACACGGTGAAACCCTGTCTCTACTAAAAATACAAAAAGTTAGCTGGGCGTGGTGGTGGCGCCTGTAGTCCCAACTACTTGGAAGGAAGGCTGAGGCAGGAGAATGGCATGAACCCGGGAGGCAGAGCTTGCAGTGAGCTGAGATCACTCCACTGCACTCCAGCCTGGGCGACAG